TGAGTTGGCGATGACGGTGATGATAAATTGATTTAAAGATGCTTGGCGTTTTGATTGGTGTTTTGTCAATTTTTTTTGAATTTTTGTCACTTTTTAGTGTTTGTCACTTTTTTCCATTACTTCCTTGAAATTTATGTCACTCTTTTGTAATGTTTTGAAAATCGGCCACGTCATCGACTTGGAAAAGTTAAAAGGGTTAAGAGTCAAATGGTCGAACAAAGGTCAAACCAGGGTTGACCCAAAATTAGAATAATAAATAAATTTATATATTATATTAAAAAATTTATTAATTAAATATCATTTTAAAACCCATTATCTACCATTTATTACTTATGGAATTTAAGTGGTGAAATTAAATGGGCCAAACCAATTTTATAAATAAATTTTATTAAGTAAATATGTTAATGTCACAACTTTATACAATTTGGTCACAAATTATTTCTCGATCATAAATAAAATTTTTTATATCAAATTATTTCACGAACACAAATAAATTTTTTTAGTTCACAATTTATATATCGGTCACAAATCAAAAATTTTCTTTGTCACAATTTATTCGTTGAGCATAAATCAATAAGTCACAACCTGTTTAACTGTCGCAAATTAACAAATTAATTAGTCACAAGTTATTTCTCGATACGACTTAATAAGTTGTGAGTCACAATCACATTTTTAGATCACGTATATTTTATTAGTTACAATCAATCAACCTACCCCACCCACCCATAACCATCGCCACTACCACACTAGACCGCCAACATCACTATCACCACACTAGATCGCCAACATCACCAATATAACAATCACAAAACCATTATATATCATCTGAACCCACCACAAAACAACATCACCACCACCTCAACCATCGCTACGACAGGTTGCCAACATCAACACTGCATCAACCACAACACCACCACATAACATCTGAACCTACCACAACAACCACATTACCACTATAGCAACCACGACACCACCATGTCGCCAACACAATCACATGCAGCACACCGTACCCACATCACACAGGACCGCACCCAACCATTGTACCACCACCGCACCACACAACATCACACCCACTACACAGCACCGTAACCACCACAATCACAAACCCAACACACCATCACCACCATCGAACCGTTAATTACCGCACCACTCAAAATCATTTTTTTTAAAAAGAAGAAGAATGGATCTGCACGGTGGTCTTCGATGGTAGTCTTCCATGTAATAAAAGGCAGAGAAGGGGTGGATGAGGGTGTATACTGCAACGGTGATAGTGCTCCCGTGGTTCTGCACACAATGAACCAGCAGTGACTCTGTCGCTGTAAGACACCGTTGCGTTGGGTCGTGTTGCGCGCACAATAGTCGGAGTCACCGAAAAGAGAAGAAAGATGTTGGTCGTGATTTGTGATTTTGGAATTTTTAGGGTTTGGGTGTTTATGATTTAGAGATGATAGAAGATATTAAATATTATTAATATTAAAATTTGAATTAAAATTTGATTTTTGTATAAACAAATTTTAGATCTGATTTTTGAAATTGGATTTTAAAAAATTTGGTTAATTGTAATTTTCACTATTTATTACTTACTTGATTTAAGCCCATCTGAAAAAAAAAAAAAGATTAGAATTGGAAGAAATTACAAAAAACCAGGTATTTAAGTTTTCAAATTCAAAACTCAGGTGTGAAGTTTATTTAATCAAAAATCGGGTATTAATTGAATTATTAATTATATTAACCTAAATCACACACTCTCTCATCCTCATCTTCTCTATCATCTTCTCTATCATCTTCACGAGTCTATCTCATCTTTCATTCTCTCTCTTCATCTTCACCGGTGGCACCCTCTTCACCGACGGAAGCAACATCTGGCGAACTAAGTGCCGTCGTGCGGAGCCCCAGTCATAGCTGTTGCGCGGAGATTTAAAATTTTTCGACAATGCCGTCTTCTTCTTTTTGCACCACAGACCACCTTCTCCTCCCTCTCTACCGGCAGCCAAACCTCGCACCACCGCCTCCATAGGGCACTTCTACAGACGGTGCGAGGGTCACCGATCGAACCATCCCGCTCGCAGTGGCTTTGTGTCGCCATGGTGTTGAGATGATTTTGGACGTGAAGATGGAGGCCACGCCGATTTGGTTGATTTTTGTTTGTTGTCGGTGGTGGTTTCTATGGTGTGGTGATGTTTGAGTGGTTTTAGTGGCAATGGTGGTGGTGGTGGATCGACCGTGGCGATGATGTGTTCTGCATCCTGATTTGGTGGTTGTGCAATGGAGGTGAGGTGGTGGATCGGCTGCTTGATGGTGGATCCAGATTTGGTGGCTGTGCTATAAAGGTGAAGTGGTGGTGGATCGGCTGCTGATGGTGGATCTCTATTTGGTGGTTGTACTGTGGAGGTGAGACGGTGGTGGTGGTGGATCTGGCGTGACGTAGTGGTGGTGGTGTTTTTCTACCACGTGTGATTTGTTTGCAATGGTGGTAGTAGTGGTTCTGGTTGCGAGTTGGCTGTGGTGTTGGTTTGTTTAAGGTGGTAGTTGTGGTTTTGACAATGATGGTGGCGGCGGTGGTGCTGCTGGAGGCAGTGTTGATGTGGTGGTTGCAAGTGTTGTGCAGTGGTGGTGTTTAACGGCGATGCTGTGTCGGTGGTCGTAGTGGTGGCGGCTTTAGTGGTGGTGGTTGTGGCGGCGGCGGTGGTCATGACGACGGTCGTGGGTGGGATGTGATGATGTGGGTGTCTGTGACCAATTAATTGGTTGATTGTGACCAATAATTGGTTAATTTTTGACCAATAAATAATATGTGACCTAAAAATTGTGACTGTGACTCACTATTTACTAAGTTGTAATTGAGTTGTGACCAATAAAAAAATTGATTTTGTGATCGATGAATAATTTGTGACTTATAAAATTTTCGATTCGTGATCGAGAAATAACTCGTGACCTATAAAATTCTTGATTTGTAACCAAATCATAAGCCGTGACCAATAATTTGATAAGTCGTGATCGATTTTTAATGAATAAATGAGTTGTGACTATAAGATTTTCGATTAGTGATCAATGAATAATATGTGACCTATGAAATTTTGGTTCTTGTTCGAGAAGTAATCCGCGATTTATAAAATTTTTGATTTATGATCAATAATTTGATAAATTGTGATTGAAAATTAATTTTTGATNATAATTTGATAAATTGTGATTGAAAATTAATTTTTGATTAATTAATTAGATAATTGTGACCAAATTGCATATAAGTGTGTCCTTACTATATTTAATTGGTAAAATATATATTTAACAAATTAATTTATTGCATTTATTATATTTAAATAATAAATATTTTTAATTAATTAGCTAAATACCTGATTTTTGAATTTTACAAACTTAAAATCTGAATTTTGAATTGTTGAAACTTAAACCCTGATTTACGAATTCTTCCTTAGAATTGTATAGGAGCCCACTCGTGCTATTTTCCAATCGGGAATTTTGCGTAAAGCCCAATTAAAAGGCATGGATAGCCAACTGTAACCCATTCTTGTTTACCACTAGCAATTCATAGCGCGAAGGGGACAAGGTTTTCTTCCTCGGTATTAAACTGAGAACAATCAGTGTGAAGGCTAGGCGGAAAGGGAGACATATTCATCACTCCTTGGCACCAATTTATCTTGTGTATCTGTGATTTCTACTCAACTTCTTCATCACCAAACTTGGGAGGTAGTTTCGGATTTTATGTGTAAAAATGGGCTTTATATGTTGAAATTGCACTCGATCTGATTGTTGTGAATGATTTAATTTCAATTCAACTCCTTATTTATTTTTTCGAAATTGTTTTTTCTTGATGGTAATCTTCGTCTTGCAACAGTGATTTTTCGACAACATTCCTCTTGAATGTTTGATGCGGTTGTTTTCTCCTTGCCTTGAAAACTAACTGTCCCTCAAGTTTAATAGGTGAAATACCCAGGATCAAAATCCAGTGGTGGCGCTTGCCACTACTAGACCCCAGTTGGCTCTGCCCCTGTTTAAAAAAAAAATGTCTATATTTGGCAGGGGTTTTTTTTTGGTAGTTGGTTTATTATCTTGACATTTAGTCTTCTTTCTTTGTGTGTATTTGCAGAAGGCAGAAACACGTTTTATCATTTTCCTTACGGTTCTTACTTATCAAAATAATTTTGGTTTATTTTTGGTGTTTGCTATAATAAATGGCCACATGACATGGAGTGATAAAATGGTGAAAAAAAAAAGAATTGGAGTGAAACAACTTCTATGCAGAGTAATCACTTTACATTATTTTGGGGTGGAGTAATGTTTTTGAATACAAACAATGATTCATTTTATTGGTTTGTGTCATTGTAAGTGTATATTTTATTAAAGAACTGATTTGATTCTAGAAATGATCTCTTTTGTTATTCGTGTTTACGTTGTATGCTTTTGTGTTATTCTTTATGCATTTTGGTTTTATAAGGCTTGAGAAAATAATATTGTGACAATAGCTTTGTCCCCGAAAATGATAAAGTTGAGTAGGAAGCAGTTCTATCTCCATAACAAGTGTATACTCCATCTCAATTTTCTATTTTTGCTGAATGTGAACTAGCTTTTCCGTTAAAAGAGAAAGTGCTACTGGGCTGCAAACACATCAAAACACATTTAGGGTGTGTTCGGTAGAGATTAAAATCGGATTAAAATTGAAAAATTAGCCTTGACTTTTATTAGACGAGTGGGATCCAATAACGGCTATAATTTCAATTTTAATCGGATTTTAAGCTTAGCCAAACATGCTCTTAATGTTGTAGAACCCTTTGAATTCTTACATTATTTTCTTTTGCATTTTTGGGAACATTATTACAAGAAATTTACTTAATTATAATATATTAACTCTTGAAGAATATTAATCCACATGAAATATCACTATTTGAAAGTTCTGTAATATCACACATATAAATAATTCAACAGAATATACTGTCCAAATATCTGACAGTTTGACATAGATTTGTTGCAAATGTAGTAGATAAAGAATGGAGCAATCACAATATGAAATCGATTTGGGAAATCTAATGGCCTTTGATCCACATCATCAATATCCTTCTTCTTTGACTTCCAGGTTTTGTTCTTTGTTCTTTTTCATTTTCTTAAATTCCTCATTTTATCAATATTCTACTTACTATACTGTGTACTTTACTCTTTATCAAGCCTATATAAGCACTGGTTTCAAACTCCGTATCAAAATCTGAAGAGCTTTTGCTGTATATTCGATTATATCTGGAATGAGAAAAAATCTGCAGTGTATATTATCCACAGACTGTGTAGTAATATTCAGTATCACTTTTGAGCTTAATAATGATTGCAGCTAGAAATCCCTGCTATAAAGGGCTATCTGCCTTGTCTGAAAATACAATGCTCTAAGCATCTCTTTATATTATTCCAAATGTTGCTCTAAGATATATTTTCTAAAGCATTTTAGTGTTTTTGATACTGGGAGAACTGACTTCATCTTAAGCCTTGGTGGTTTGTTTGGATTTATTTATTTGCTTTTTATCACAAATAGGGAGGAGCTAGTAAAGGAGGCTCTTGAACAGGGCACCAAATTGGTACAAGCAGTTGCGGATGCTCTCTTCAATTTACCTTCAACTGAAGACCGAGATGGTCCTATGGTCAAGTTGCCTGCACCTACAACAAGATTGCCAAGAGAGAAGCCGGTATTCTCTTCGTTCTCATTTATTTTTTTACTTGTAGTAAGAACCAGAAAAAGGAACCGAAAAGCAAGAAATTGAATAAAACAATAGAAGGAGAAATGAAGGGAAGGAATTTTCATTTTTGTATAATTCTCAGATAAGGGCAACCCCAAATGTATTGGGAAGTTTGTTGATTTATCATTCTCAAATATCCATCAAATTCCTGTTTCTTTCTTTCCTTTGTTTTTTAGCTTGCTTGAGTGAATGCTAACAATGTCAGCTATCCAAACAAAAAGATTATCTACCTTCAAACCTACATATGATATCCATTAATGTAGAATGAATTTGCAATCAGTAAAAAAAAATTTGAGTATCAAATTGAGTTTATTTATTATGTAGATTAGGGCTAAAAGACATCAGTGGTTAATTGTTATTTCATTCTTAGAAACCTGTTGTCATATCACTTAGATGCCCATCTTTAAATTCCTGAAAGATGTCTAAAGTTCATCTACCATTATGAAAAATAATTTTTACTGTTTACTTTCTAGTGATAAAAATTGCAACGCATTTTTCTCAACAGATGTAGCTTGCAGTGAGACTATATTGAGGATAAAGTAAGGATAGACAATAGATGCACAATGGAAGATGCAAGAATAGGCTTTGAATTTCATTCGAATATAAATAACTCAAACATAATGGGGGAAGTGAATAAAATAAACAAGCATTTAACTATAGAAGCACAATGGAAGATGCAAGAATAGGCTTTGAATTGCATTCAAATATAGATAACTCAAATATATTGGAGAATTGAATAAAATAAACAAGCATTTAGCTGGAAAAAAGGAACCTTTGGGTCATTGAATAATGGAAGGCATAGCATGGATATTGGGGATATTCCAGACACTATTAAAGATAAAATTATGACATACACTAGAAGAATCAGGGCCTCTGAACTGGGGATGCTGTATAAAGGATAAAGACAAGAAAAACAATTGGTTCAGATGAAATTTCTATTGAAGTACAGAAGTCTGAGATCTTAAATAGTAAAAAAATTTCTAATGAATAGAGAAAGAGTGTTAGTATATGCAGCATGATTATAAAATTGTTAAATGTTGGGATTTTTTATTTTCATCTTGTGCTAGATTTTCTTTGAAATTGCTGAATGAAATGGCCAATAATCATGCATATAAATATCATAACTGAGTATTTAGCCCTTTGTTTGGCCTCCATTCTTTTAAAACTCAATTTTTCTAAATCTCGTTTTCAACCGCACATTTCATGGGAACTACAACTTTTATTAACTTTTTAATCACATTTCATCAATTTTTACCAAAATCTACTAAAAGCATCTCCAAGAGACTTTCTATTTTGAAAGAGCATATTTTGTAATTTAGAAAGTATCTATAAATTTAGAGAGTACAATTTTTTAAGTGCCCGAGCATGCTCTTTATATTTAATACTTAATTTTACTACTTTAAAAAAATATTTATTGTTTTTTCCTATCTTTTATTTTCACTAGCTTTCAACTCAATTATTATATTATTTTCCTCCAATGAGAATTGAAATATTTAAATGCATTTAATTAGAGAGAGTGAGTTTGGCTATCCAAACTCTCTATGTTAAAATGTTAATTTAAAGAGGCTCTTCGAACATAATTTTAAGAGTTAATTATTTAAAATAGAAAGCATCTTATATTTAAAGAGCATTTTGGAGATGCTCAAAAAATTTGATTTTTAGCTAGATCAACAGGGGCTTAATAGTGTAGAACTGAAGAAATAAAAAACTTGAGTAACCCTATCCTTTTCAGTGTAGGGATCACGGTTAATTTATGCTAGCTGATGGTTGCATGAATTTTGTTAATAGTAGCCATGTTTCATGGTTGACCATCTCTTACCTTTTGCGTACTTTTTAACTTTTAAGATTATTTTTTATACTGGTATACAATTAAGGATCTCAAACTTTTCTTCTCTTGTTTTTCAGCTTCCCAAACCTAGACCACCTACAAAATGGGAATTGTTTGCTGAAAAGAAAGGTTTGTTTCTAATCCGTGAAGCTGCTGCTTAGTGCAATTGATCTTTCAAGTAAAAGAGCTTTCTTTTTCTCAGTTCTGATTTGAGACAATGGTTCCATGATAGCCATGTCATTTTAATTTGTTGATCCTGTCAATTTGAGATATCATGCAGGTATTAAAAAACGCAAGCAAGATAAGCTTGCCTTTGATTAGCAAACTGGTACTTGGAAGCGGCGTCATGGCTATGATCGTGTAAATGATGACAAAGATATACCAATCATTGAGGCCAAGATGACAGATGGTAAATAGTTTTGAGTTCTCTTGCTGTCTCTCTTTCCGCTCTAATAATTTTTATTGAACTGGTGGCCCAACTTGTTCAGTGATAATTATTCTATTTTTACTTTTCAAATAATACTGTCGACAACTACATTTGTTGGTAAACATAGAAAGTAATCCTCTTACCTATCATGTATTAAATTGTTGGTTACCCATGAAATTTTACACCTAAAATTTTCATGTATTCAATTTTAAGCATAAATTAAATTGTTTGTATGCTCTTGCCCAGGATGGTGATATTCCTGCTCTTTTTCTTGATAGTCACTATAGTCTTTGTAAAATTTCTATATTACTGTATAATTTTGTATAATCTGTGTTTTGCTTCTTCAGAACCAGGAACAGATCCTTTTGCTGAGAGACAAAAAGAGAAGAAAAGCAGAGTTGACAAACAAGAGAAAAATAGGTTGCAGAACTTGAAACAAGCTGCAAAAGTTGGTGCCCTGCCAAGGTTAGCCTTCCTCAAATTAACATTATACAAGAGTACGCTTAGAAATTCTTGGCATGAATTTTGAAGAATGAACATCTTGTTCACTAGTGTTTGCAATTTGATGAAAATTATTCCTTCGTATTTCCATCCTTTCAAGTCCATAGCGCTTCTACTCGTCATTCTACAAATGATATAATGTATAAACTTACTCCAATTGTATTCGTACGTACATTTGCCTGCATTCAGTGGTTATAACTTGTCAGAAAATACGGTCCTCGCCAAATAGTTTAATCATACTGCAACACATGATCTGATTTTGTTACTGGTTTGCAGCCATGTTCAGCTTGCTGCCACAGCCTTACCTATTATGGGAACCCAAGCAATGCCCAGAAAAGTTGGCAAGGACGAATTAGAAAACGTTGCTGGAATGGCATCGACTGCAACAGCGAGCGGTGGAAAATTTGACAAGAAATTGCCCGGAGAGAAGCCCCCAAAGCACGTAAAGAAATATAGGAAGGTTTGTGCAGTACAGGAACTCCTTATCCTTTAAAATTATTACAATGTCAAAATAAGCATGTTCAGAATGCAGCGTTAGACTATATTAACTGTAAAACATGATCTAATCCATGTTTGCAAACATGCCGATAAGGTCTAAATGCATCTTATATCCATCTTCCCTTCAGTTCCTGCCAGCTGCTGAAGGATCAGGAATGGGTGCATTAGAAAAACAGCAAACTGAGAAAGTTTTGAATAAGTTGATCTCCAAAAATTCTCACGGAATGCTAAATGTTGAAAAGGTGAACTCTTTTTTGCTCTAGTGCCTGTAGATTTCCTAAGCCTTTTCTTCATGTTATTCCTAGCATTTGGAAGGAAATCCTGACTTGGCTAATTCATTTTTGGGCTTTTAGGCTGTGAACATGAACAATGTGAAGAAGGAAAAGAAACGAAGAAACAAAGACGGGGGAAAGTCATCAACACCAAGCAAGCTGAAGTCGAACAAGAAATCTTTCAAGAAAACATCAAAAGGAGGATCTTCAAAGAAAGGGAAGTAAAATCAATGTCGTGTAATGGAATTTCTTTCAATTAAGTTAAGTTATTTTCAAGTATTCTTTTAATTATAAAATATTTAAATCGTTTTGTTCTTGCATTTCTTATTAACATGCTTGGCTAAACTTGAAAGGGTTCTAAAAGCTTATTAACATGTCTAATTAAAGAATAATGCTATTGAGCACCAGGTATCAGCATATCATGTCTTATTAAATGAGCCTTAATTCCTTTTATTTAAATGAACATATAATTTAATGTTACTAGTGTTACTATCTAAAATGGTGTTAAATAATATTACTTAAACTTGGTGAATTTATGTCATTTTCAAAATAAGTAACATTTGAGTTTTACTGAAAAAGTATTTAGTGAAAATTACTTTAAAAGGCTAAATTAAACTGGGTTTCAAACCTTTGAATTTGTGATGATAGAAACTTGAACCTTTGATTTCTAATAGCGGGGGTTCTAAACTTTTCAAAACTGAAAGACAATATTTAAAACTTCAAAAATCAAATATTAATTAAATTTTACTTATGAAATAATTAATTCAAAATATATTTTATTACTTAAATATAACAATTCTATACTATTTGTCTACAAATTATTTTTCGGTCATGAATAAAAAATTTAATAGGTCACAAATCACAAATTATCGATCATATATTACCCCCGTTTGGGTCCTATTATTTGAAATTTTAATAGTTCGAATAATTTTTTTTTAAAAAAATGTGTAGCTAAAAAAGAAGAATTTTTTTTGGATTACGTGTAATATTATTTTATTGAAAAATGTGTGATTGATAAGAAGAGAAAAATGAATTGTAATTTTAATGGAAACCAAACATAGAAATTATTTCTTAATCACAAGTTATCGATCTTATATTATTTATTAGTTACAAAATATCCAATTCATTGATTATAATTGATCACAAATTAACTATTTTATTGATCATAATCAATCAAATAATTGGTCACAAACATTCCCATCTCATCCCCTGCTAACCCACCCACAACCATCGCACCACCACCATAGTCGTCGTCGTCGCCGCCACCACCACCACCACCACCACCACCACCACCACCAACATCATTGTCACCTCACAACCGTAACCAACATCACAACAACCACCACCCAAATACTACCAAAAAATCAAATCCAAAATTATCAATCACCACCACCACCACCATAAAAACTCCGACACTATAATTACTGAGATCCAAAGCCAGATTTCTCCACATCACATCGGCCCAAAGCCAAATTTCTCCACTACATTGGCAGCGAAGACGCCTCTACACAATGACGAAGACATCATTATTGGAGTGTCGTTCAAGCCGCTACTGGAAGAGGCTACATTGTTGACCTATGGGGTTCATCCTATATTTTGATTATAACAAATAAAGTATTTTTTTTTATCTCTAACATTTACATTCAAGCTGGAAATAATCGAGCACTTGCATCAAAAAAATCGGAGGCAAATCAAGCACTTGTGCCAAATTCAAAATCGAGCAACAAATCAAGTACTCCCGGCAAATCAATTGAAGATATTAGAATTATATGTTTGAACTCACTTGTAAAGGTAAAACATTTCAATTCTTAATAATGAATTACAACAAGCTCATAAGTTAAAATTTTTATGCACGAGATCATTTTTTTATAAAAACGCTCGCATAAAAAATATTTTCGATATGACAAAATCTTCACTTGGCTTTTAAACTCTTTTAACAACGATATTTATTTTGAAAAGATAAATGAATGTGTCCCCCAAGAATTTACACTTGCTAAAATAATCAAGAAAATAGAAAATCAGAAATTTCGGTGGAGCTGGCCGATGTCCAGTGGCTCCAACGGTCAAAATTCTAACCGTTTTGATTTCTAACGCACAACGGCTAGTTTCAGTCTTCCGGTCGATAGCGGACGTCCAGTGGGAGTCGTTCGATTGGTCAGAACTTTTTGCGTTTTGACTACTATAAATACCACATCACTTTACATTCAATTCTACATATTCAAGAGCATTCAAGTGAGATATTTTTGAATAAAAATTGTATTGATTTCTCATTTCAGTTTTAACTTTGGAAAACTTTTGATTAAATCAACTTTTGAAAATCATTCTACACATCAAATTTTTTCATACCTGTCACTTGATCTTCATGCATTGCTATTTATTAAATGTTAGTCTATTTCTCTCTTTGTACTTAATTGGGATCATATTATTTATTGAGGGAGAAGTTACAATTTATAAAATCAATTCTCTTTAAACTTGTGGAGTAGTGTTGAGGTCCCGTAAAACTCAACGTTGTAAAATGATTGGTGCTCCTTATTTGTAAGTTACCAAAAGCTTTGTAAATGATTGAATTGTACCACAAGTCAATCAATATAGTGAAATTGTCCTTACTCGTGCCGGAGAGTCTATCCATCTTTACTCATTACCTTCATTTTCGTGCTTATTATTTAAATTAATTTATCTAGTTATTATGTACTTGATTATAGATTAATTTTTTGAAAAAGTTTTAAAAATCAATTAATCTCCCTCTTGGTTAGTTATTTTTGAGCTATCATACACATTAACGAAGACAAAGGCGCCGCTACTGGAGAGGAGGCTACACAATGGTAAAGATAGATGTGTCATTACAGGAGGAGTCAGTGCAACAACGAGAAGATGCTATATAGGAGGCGATGCTCCGGTGGAGGCACCGTTACTAGAGTGCAGAATGAGAGGAGAGAGGCAATGTGAGCGGCGTCGATAGAGATGATATAGAAAGGATGGAATATAGAGGAGGGAGGGAGGGAGGGAGGGAGAGAGAGAGAGAGAAGGAATATGAAAAATAATTAGGGCTTGAGATGATATTTGGTGGGGGTAGATGGAGGTATTGAGAGTATATAAATGTGGTAATTGGGGCAAATGGTCTCTTTGATAATGTAGTTTGGGATTTTAGCCTTCGACCACAATTAAAGTTTTAAAATAAATATTTTAATTCAACATTAATAAACTACCTAAATTACCCTCCTTGTATATGAGTAAATATTTGTCTTTCCCTTTCCCAAATCAATTGAAACCCTTCAACCCTAAATTCATCTCTCCCCTGTTCAAAGTTGAAGTCAACAGTCCCTTCGTCGGAAACTCTTGAACCGTAAATTCATCTCTCGAAGTCGAAGGCAAGAATCCCTTTGTCCGATAACCTTGGGTGTAAGCATTCTTGACTATTAGTTGGACAGATTTCCATTTGCTGTTGGAAGAGAAAATCGGATTTCTCCTGCTTCTCGAAGCGGTAACTCCATTGCTATTAACCCCTCCTCCACCCTCAAGGTATGCACATTTTTCTATTATTTCTTGTGTTTTACATCGTCATGTTATTTTTCATCTGCAAGGTAAATCTTTTTCTTTCATTTGTGTTTTTTGCGATTTTACGTGTAATGGAATGTATTGCATTTTGGGTTTGTTTATTTGGGCTTAATTTTAGTATGTGGGTCTGTGTTTGAGGCATGTGAATTCTCTGTGTGCGATGCATATAGTTTTGTGGGATGGGGTGAGCTGAGGATTGCTTCATGTGGATTTTGGTGCTTACTTTTGATTTCTGTACTGTAATGTGGTGGGCTACTTGATTGTGGAATTTCAATGTGCTTTTAAGCATAAGATCAGGTTCAATTGTTCATTAAGATTTCTTATTTATTTAAACTATAAGAATTTATCAGCAAGTGATGTCACTGATAAACCATTTTTTTGGTCTTGTTCTATGGGATTTTGATAAGGGGGATTTTCTTTGTTGCAATGGCTAGTGTAGGTGGATTGCCTTGTTACATTGAGGTGTTTTTACTTATCTTTATGTTAATTTGTGGATGTCGTGGTGCATGTTTGTGCATTGTTTAGCTTAATATCATCCAATATGGATGTAAAGTTTGATTTCTTTGTACCCCTTTGCATCAAAGGTACTACTTTTGACAATGTTATTGGTTTGTAAATTTTGGAGTTTGTATTTATTTGTTTTGTGGTAATTGGGTCAAATAGACTGTTTGATAATACAAATTGGAATTTTAGCCTTTGCCGAGTCTTCCAATATGACATTCTGAAGTTGATCTAGTTTTGAAAATGGCGCCCTGTCATTTATGAAATTCTGAAAAATGTCATCTTGCCGTTTATCTGTTTTTGAAAATGAATTGTATTAAATATCACTTAACATTACTGTAAATTCTTCATATTTATTCATTGATGTAGAAATGGAACACTCGTTTGAGTTCGTGATTCCCGTTGAAGATAGAATTAAAGGTAGACCTTCACAGAAGTGCTCCCTTCACAAATTTGACTATGTTCGAGAGATGTTAGATGATGTTCACCAAAAAATGCTCATGGAATCTTGTTTTGGACAAATATATCAAATGAAGCGTATACCTTTTTCAGCCCAACTAATCCACTAACTTGTAATGAGGATGATTGTGACCAAAAAACAAAATGAGATTTGGTTTTCAATTGGTGGTAAGCCAACTAGATTTTCATTATACGAGTTCACATCGATAATGGGGTTGAGAGCTAGTGAGGAGCCTTCATTGGAGCCCCATATTGTAAATAATGATAGACTGGTGAAGAAACACTTTAAAAAGTGTAAGAAAGGCATAACTGTTTACAATTTGAAGGAAGCTATTGAAAATCGCAATGTGTACATGGAAGATAAGTACAAGATTGGACTTGTATATATTTTGGAAACGGTATTACTGGCCAAAGAAAACTACACATACATATTGTCGGCTGGATCAGACATGAAACTTATATTTGATGATATGATTGATTGTTGGAGGAAAAGACTAGCAGCTAAAGTTTGTGCTGTGCATTTTGATCCATAATTGTTCTTTTTGTATATTTTTCAATTTTATGTGGTCAGATGATATAGAACTTAGACGCTAATTTTGTCTAGACGATAGTGTTTTGTATGATTTAATAGAAAAAAGTGCATGGATGCTGATTTTGTCTAGTTAGTGTTGATTTTGATGATTGATTGCTACGTTTTTCATTATATGAATGTTTTATTCAAACATNTATTTGTGCAAGTCTGGAGGAACCAAATGTAAGTATAGTTGAAATGTAGATTATAATATATTGTATATTTTCTGAAAACTAAGTGTACCTCTCATTTTTTATATAGATTGTAGTTCATTGCACGCTCAAGCCTACGCTGGAGGAGGCTTCTAAAGCATATTGGATGGAGATTCATCCATTTAGTGATGAAGTGGAGGATCCAACTGTTGATAGCTTTGTGGATAATGTAAATGGAGCGGATTCGTCCATTCGTGCTGACAGTCCTCACCAAACTTGTCAGACTCCTAATGCCTCTACATCTCCCCGGGGTCCATCTTCCTTTCGTAGGCCGCCTACTTCTATGGATGCTCATACATTTCATCCGGGACCATCTACATCATATCCGTCTCTTTATCCATCTAGAGATGAGTTCGCTGAGGAATTAAGGATACAATTAGTACAGATAGTTGAGACTTTAGACAGGAAAAATGAAAGGCGAATAAAGGAGATGCGTTCTTACGTGGATCAAAAGTTTGATTGTGTTTCATCTTTGTGTACACAAATTAACGAAAAAGTATCATCTATTGTGCATTGGATTAAGAATTCTAACCCATCGACACCTTACATATATCACTCTCCTTCTCGCGGTGGATTTATGAACACTGGAGAGGAACGTGTTGATGTGAATGAGGATCCAGTTCCTGTAGAAGTGGGAAATGATGAGAATGAAGATGGCAATGAGCAAAGACAAGTATTTGATGACTTGTTGGTAAATGAGCCGGTTCCTACAGATGGAAATGACCTAAAACAAGCAACTGATGCTAATTCTGATCCAATGCTTCTAGAAGTGGAAAATGATGAGAATGAAGATGTCAATGAGCAAGGACAAGTGTGTGATGACTTGTTGGTAAATGAACCAGTTCCTATAGATGGAAATGAACTAAAACAAGGTGTTTATGTGAATGAGGATCCAGTTCCTGTAGAAATGGCAAATGATGAAGGACAAGTACCATACACGTTGAATAATGATCAAACTCATGTGGAGTCAGTCCCTGTACTAGTAGAAGATGAGTCTAATGACTCAAGTAAAAATGGACGCGGGATGAGAATTAAGAAAAGGTCACTCGTTCTTCGATCTCCTTTTACAAATCCAGAGAAGAGAAGGAAGCTTGACAATGTTAATGCATTTGACCCATTTCGAGAGCTTGATCCGGCTAAGGCAGATGACTTAGAGAATTGGTTGGTTAATGCTCCTGACAGGTATCTATCAAATAATGTAATTATTTCTATGAAGTTACAACATATATGTTCTTATGTTATTTGTTTTCATGCAGTGCACATGTGGAATTGATATTGTACACGAAGCCAAAACTTTTTTATGAAGATATTCAGAAGCAACATGGATGGCTCAGTAGTGATGTAATAATTTTAACATTCTGTATTTTGCTTATACTTTATTATTCAGAAGCAACATGGATGGCTCAGTAGTGATGTAATCTTTTTAACTTTCTGTATTTTGCTTTTACTTTATTTCATTCTTAATAGTTGTATACATTTGCAGCACATTGACATAGCATTGTATTTGATGAGGGCACGAATGGAGACGCATCCTACTGTGTTCGCACAAGATTGTGCAATTTTAGATTGTACTTTTACCAACATGTGCAGTAAGAGGTTTGGAGAATTCGAGTTGCATACGAAAGAAAAAAACCCAATACAGGACTTCAAATGGTTGAAAAATATGTCAAGATACGTATATGGTAAAAGTCCAGAGCGGAGCAAGCAATGGGATTCTTGTACGTCGCTGTATATTCCTTGCAATGTGGAAATGAAGCACTGGATTGCTCTTCATGTGGACATTGCCGAGCGAACTATATACGTATATGACAGCATGAAGAGTAGCACACGTTTTGGAAAATTACAAAAAATCATGCGTCCAATTGTGAAGGTGATTCCTAGAATGATGAAAGAGAGTCTGTTGTTTGGGGAAGATTATCCTAAAAATCAGTTTCAGTGGCGTCGTCATACAGATGTTCCACAACAAAAAAATGCGTGAGTTATCCATATTTAACCTTCTTCGTATTTTAATTGCTCTAATAATACATATGTTTTATTTATTATTGTAAATATCTGTGCAGGGGAGACTGCGGAATATACACTATCAAGTTTATAGAACTTTTGTCGGCTGGATTAGACGTGAAACTTATATCTGATGATATGATTGACTGTTGGAGAAAGAAACTAGCTGCTGAAGTTTTTGCTATGCATTTCGATCCATGATTGTTTTCGTTGTATGTATTTCGATTTCACGTGGTCGGAAGACATAGGACTTAGATGTTACTTTTGTCTAGATGGTAGTGTTTTGTATGATGTAGTTGGAAAACAAGTACATGGATACTGATTTTGTCTAGTTAGTATAATTTCATGCGATCGGAGGACATGACTTAGATGCTAATTCTATTTAGCTGGTAGTGTTTTGTATGATTTTGTTGGTAAACATGCTGTCGGAGGACATGACTTAGATGCATGGATGCTGATTTTGTCTAGATGATTCATGACAGCATTTATATTCATGCGATAGAAAAACAGAATGTATTATTACATATGCGAATTCACCCAGGCTGAAAAACGGCAGTGATACGTTTAAAACGACAACATGCCATTTTTGAGTCACGGGGTCTTGAAATGTTTGATATAATGCCTGTAAAAGCTGTTCCCTTTTATAAGTAAATACTTTTCGTTTTTTCACAGAAAAATAAATCAATATTAAGATGTTTTGAGGTTTTTACTTGATCAAATATTTTGGAAATGAAGACACCTTCAGAGAAATGCTCCGCGTGAAATGCTCACGTTTGAACCAAGTTTAGTCTCATCAAGTATTTGTTGCGAAACCGATTGAAGGTTGTTTGGTGTACCCGCTTGGCTAGGGCAGAAGATCAAGAGGAGATGAAGAAGATTGAAGAGGAAATGATTGGGTTGGGACCAGATCATGCTGCACTTCTGGAGCAGTTGCATGCTACTAGGGCGACTGCGAAAGAGAGGCAGAAGAACTTGGAAAAAAGCATTAGGGAAGAGGCTCGACGGCTGAAAGATGAGACTGGTGAAGATGGTGTCCGAGAACGCAGGGGGTTTGCTGATAGAGATGCTGATGGTGCTTGGTTGAAAGGGCAGGGGCAAATACTTGATCTTGACAGCCTTGCATTTCACCAAGGTGGTTTGCTAATGGCAAATAGGAAGTGTGAGCTGCCACTGGGATCTTATAGAAATCACAAGAAAGGTTACGAAGAAGTTCATGTACCTGCTTTGAAGCCAAAGCCATTGGCTGCGGGTGAAAAACTTGTAAAGATATCTGAAATGCCGGACTGGGCACAAGCAGCTTTTGAAGGGATGAGAGAGTTGAACAGGGTCCAAAGAAAAGTTTATGAAACTGCTGCACTTCAGTGCAGAAAATGTCTTATTATGTGCACCTACTGGGTCAGGAAAGACCAATGTTGCCATGCTCACCATACTTCAGCAGCTTGCATTGAATATGAATGAAGATGGGACTATTGATCATAGTAAATATAAGATTGTCTATGTGGCACTGGTCGCTGAAGTGGTAGGCAATCTTTCTAATCGGCTACAAAAATATGGTGTCCAGGTTAAAGAGCTGAGTGGAGACCAAACACTGACTCGTCAACAAATTGAAGAAACTCAGATTATAGTGACAACCCCTGAGAAGTGGGATATTATCACCAGAAAATCAAGTGATCGCACCTATACCCAGCTTGTGAAGCTCCTCATCATTGACGAGATTCATCTTCTGCATGATAATAGAGGTCCTGTGCCGGAAAGTATTGTTGCGAGAACTGTTCGACAAGTTGAACTCTGGTTTGAAAAGATATGTTGCAATAGACCAATATTAAACAATTAAAATTTATTGAATAATCACTTTTTTTGAATAAAATATTCTTAAAAAACGTCACCTAAATGAGTAGAACTGAACACTAAATGCGTAAAACGTCATCTATACGTTTAAAATGACAACATGCCGTTTTGGGTTACAAGGTCTCGACTTGTGGGGGCTGAATGAACCAAAGTGATGCGAATTCAACACTGAAGTAGAAAAATGGCAGTCATACGATTAAAACGTCCATGCGCCATTTTAGGTATTCAAAACCGCAATCACTAAATGAGTAGAACTGAACACTAAATGCGTAAAACGTCAGCT